TGGGCTGTTTCTTTTCTTCCCTTTCCAAAGGTTTCTCCAGAAAGTTGAAACCATAGTAAAGATGTAAAACAGGTACAAAGCATAGCTTGCAACCAATTGAGTTCTATTCAACGTGAAACTAACAGAAACTAACACGAAGAACTCAGAGCAGGTGGTAGCAGGTGAAATTCCTCCTTGACTACAAGTAGAATCAGACGTTTCCAAAGGAAAAAAAAAAAACCTCTGGAAACACTCCAATTGAGCAGCTTGCTTATGTGCCTCTGGTGTTTCTCTTCCTAACACATCACTGCTCGGTGAATCAGTCAAAGTTTTTTGGGTTGGTTTTTTTTTTTTTTTTTTTTTAAATGGGGGGTTGGTTTATTTCAGAGGTTGGTTTTTTTTTTGGGAGGAGGGGGGGGTTGGTCTTAACATCCTCCTCAGCTTACGACTGTGCAAATAAGATTCCCAAATCCATTCCTCAGATCAAATAAATGTAATTACAGAGCTTACTGTGGGCGATTCCCAGTGGGAGGGTGGGAGTGGCCACGGGTGGGGCTGCAAGGTGAATACTGTACATGCACAACAGAGAAAATGGGAATGCACCACACCCATCGTAAAACATGCTGCCACAGCCAGCAACAGAAACCATTAGGGTGGATCATCATACACACCTTCTCATAAAGACAGAAAGATGGCATGAGATCCCAGGATGAACTCTCAAGTCACAGGGAGATGAGCGTGACTCACTGAGAGAGAAAAGGAACGTAAAATAAATTATGGGACTGCTGGAGGAGCTGGGCCGTGTGTCCCCTGTTTTCCCCTACATCGTGTCTCCAAATGGGATTAATGGGGTACAGCACATGCATACAGCTCTAAAGCTATCAATAAGTATATCAGGAGAGCATCTTTTTACTAATCAGGTTCACCTCACTAGCACACCAGAAGCAGAGAACAACAGGGCTACTGATGCTGTATGTCATCTATGGAGTTCCTATGACCCCACGTTCCTTATTGTGCAGCTCAGTGGTACTCACATTTTTTTGAAGCTTTATCCCATATCATCTCTCAGCCTTCGTCTCTGAAATAACCAGTTTGCATTTTGATTAAAACGTGATGGTGAACTGGAGGAAAGAAGAAAAAAAAAGCACTTCTTAATAGAAAATATTGTGAATTGTCCTTGGACCACTTGGAAACCAGAAAGTAGACTAGTCATAGTAGAAGGGAAAAGGATCCACTGGAATATATCTGAAGGTTTGGGTCAGAAGGGTCTTGAAGATCACCCAGTTCCAAACCCATTGCTCCCCTCCCAATTCAGGCACCCAGGGCTCCAACCCAGGCTAAACTTGAGCACTTCCAGGGATGGAGCATCCATCACTTGCAAAGAATCAGCACAGGAGGGTTTTGGAGCTATTGGGGCAGGTCCAGAGGAGGGCCATGAGGATGATCAGAGGACTGGAGCATGTCTCCTGTGAATAAAGGTTGATGGAACTGGGCTTGTTAGCTTGGAGAAGGTTCATGGACATTGCAGGGAGCAGAAAGAGAAAGGATAAATACTCAGGAGAAGACAAGCTACAAAATGACAGGAGAAAGGGACACCAGAGGGGAAAAAAAGATGGTCTTCTTGTATCTGTGCCACTCTTCAGATCCAGTGCACATCCATTTGCTCTGAATTCAGTTACATACTTGCTGTGATCAGCCCACAAACACGCTTTGCCGTTATCTCATGTGCTAGTTTTACCTGCCAACCAAGTTGGTTATTCATGAAAGAATCACAGTTTCTGTATCATATTAACAACTTTAACTCTTGGAATCAAGTCTGACTTCATGCTTAGATGTCTTATATAAGGCAATGAAATTTCATACTGCTCATTCAGGAAACAGCACAATCATTCATCCAGAAAATAGGATGGAGTATGCAAAGGATAGGGTTTAGGAAATACCAGAGTTGCAAAGCTGGTAGGGAGAGCTAACGTCTTTTTTCATTAGGTTAACTGGTGCTGCTGGAAAGGTGTAGTTCCTATCATCAAGGAACAATGTGTACCAGAAATAGAAGGAAGAAAACAGTAAGAAACCAACACGGCACAGTCACAGTGCAGTACCATGGTGTGTAGACTGAAATTCTGCTCCTGAAATGTTTTCTAAAAGCAGAGCAAGGCTTAGTGACAATTCATAGCTACCCCCAGCCGTGACCCAGAACAACATTTGGTGTCAGTCTGTTGGGTAGAAGCTCAGAAAGGTCTCGTGTTCGTTGTAAGCCATAAAAACTCTGATTCTCATCCATAGTGCCTTTTTCACCCAGAGATTTCCCATAGAAAGATCCCCGTACGTATGGCAAGTTTTACTCAAAAGGTTTTGGTCGCTTCTACAACACTGGGGAACAACATTATTGGGAACGTGATACTGTTGGGTGCAGGTTTTTACCTACAAACTTAAAAGCAGAATACAGAAGAAAAAAGAAATCCCAGGTTGTTCGTTCATTCTTGGGTTGGAACCCAACGGTGTGACTTGGAGAGGAAAGAGATGATTTAGTGCTGTGGGGAGGGGGCAGAGAAGAGGAGATCACACAACCCGAGTGAGGAGCAGAGCAGAGAGCTGCCTCAGGCATGCATGCAGGATGAATTACAAATTGGGGAACATCCAAAGCTCACCTGAAAACTGATCTCAGCCCCAAGGGATGGAGGGGGCATTTACAGTAAGGTGCAGCTTTTGGAGCAGCTCTGATGAGTTACACAGCCCAGTGCTGAGCTCTGGGGAAGTGCATCGTCGGCAAAACGCCTTCTGATGTCCAGGAACACACAAAAAAGGGATTGTCTGAGCGATGGATGGGTGCCACAGGGCTCCAGTCATGCAGAGCTAATAGGTCAGCTGCTCCCTCGCTTGTCCACACGCTCAGCTGAGGTTACAGTTTCTCACTAATTTCTTTTTTTTTTTTCTTTTTTTTCTTTTGAAGATAGTTATCCTATAACAAGAGCCAGAACTGTCACGCAACATTTACAGCAGTGAAATGACATGGGCTGGGAGAAATGGTTCCAGCTACATCTGGGACGGTCACTTTCCTTTTTCCAAATCAAAGCATCATTGTTTTCTTTCACAAGTCCCACATCTTGGCAACCCACAGTTTTCCTCAGGTTCTCTCTCCCAGTAACAGCTGCATGAGTTTACTGCAAATGATTTATTGCAACCCCGACTATGGACAGCCTGCAATGACCACAAGTTCTTCTCCTTTATAGAAGGAAGTCACTTTGTGGTCTGGAATCTCTTTTCAAAAACCCACAGTAAGAATGCAGATCACCACTAAGTGCAGGTTATCAGCTTGACCTTGCATCAGGACAAGGCTACTTCCCATCTAATAACCCCTTCACTACGCAGAGAGATTTATTATAGCTTTATTAAAAGCTCAGTAAGACTCCTCCTTTCCTATCGGCCTCCATGAGATGACAAAATTAAATTAATAAACAGAGCCTGGCAAAATACTTGGAGGGGGGAGACGATAATAATTTGGCTTTCTTGGCCCACATTGTATTAGCTCTCCAAATAGCCATGACATACTCTATTTCTGACATGCCCAGTTCACCCTTTAGCCAATGCTTTTGCTCTGGTTCTGGTGGCAAAACTAACGGGAAGAGAAAAACATTATGATTCTCTGCAATCAAAACTTTTTGACTTTCTTCTTCTCTTACTTTCTCTGATTTCTCAGAACTTCCTTTATCTGTGAGCATTTGTCCAACGTCTCTTGCAATGGAAAAGCCATTAGGCAGGACCTGTAACTGCACAACAGCTCTTAATGAAATTCTAATGCTTAAGACCACAAATTAGGCAGTGGGGTTGAAGAACTGCAGTATAAAGGAGAGGTCAGATACAGCTTTCTATAACCTGGAGATAAGTGGGAAAACTGCATTAAGAGGACAGACAGCCTGGAACAGTGACAAATATACACGTGCACATATTTCCAAGCTGTCAGTTTTCCCACCTGCTCCTTTCAAGAGGAGTTTTATGTATATCTCCTCATCAACCTCCAGTTCAGCTACTGGGAATGGGGCCTGTGCCCAAAACACAGTGAACTTTAGCTCACATCATTTCTTTCCTGTACACTCAAGGTCTTATATGTGATTTCCAAGCCCCATTGTACTTCATCCCCTTGGGCAGTGCAGTCTAACTCATCATAAATACAGATTTCTCTTTGAACTGTAAAAGCAAAACAGATTTTCCACATTTTTCAGTGATATATCTTTGTTAGCCAAACCCGATAACCCCTTCAGTTATTTACCTAACAGCCATTTAAACACGTGGCAAAGACTTGGTGAATTAACCCTTGAACTGCCTTCCCCCCCTGATTTCTACCCCTGAAATCTGAGTTGTGCCACTGCAGTCTGACTAAATTTACAGTGAAAAGGGACTACAAAAGAAACCAATGGCAAGCAGACTTCTAGAAGATTAAATCTACTCATCTAACTCTGACAAATATCATTAGATATGTCTGAAGTATCTGAAGATCAAAGTTTGGGAACTCATTTAAATACCTGAGATTTCAATTGTGCAGAACATAAGGCACTGATAACAGAAAAAAGGCAAAACCATGAGTTGGTGGTACTCACCAGTCTTAAGCAATGATAGGAACAAACACCTTCGTTGTATGCAGTCCCTCTAAAAGCAATGACAGTTAATTAATAATTCTCAGTAAAGCAATATTGCTAAATTTTCTCAAATCCACAGGAATGCATTTTTATTAACTTACAAAAGGCAAAAAAAAAAAAAAAAAAGTAATTATTTCTATTAAAAATAGTGGTAAGACTGCATAACACTGTATCACACTTCATTGCAATTATGCCTAGATAACATTTCTCTGAGAGCAAAAGGGAAAATTCAGGTTAGGAATACCTTTACTATTAGAATAAGTTATTGCCCAGCAGAATGCCTAACACTGTAACAAGAAGGTTTCTTTTCCAGTTTTCAGTTTTAGAAAATATTTATTGCCATTTTCCTTCGTTATAACAGAATTTCCATCTGAAGTGGATTTGGTAATGGTTTCACTACTTCAGGATCAATCTAATATTAAATTTTCTTCTTCGGACACTTTGGAAAGGGACCAACAAGAGGACCTCATGAAGACACCGGGGGATTCAGTATCCCCAATTCAGCAAACGGTGAGTGCTACAGCTCAGTGCTGTTCTCCTCCCCCAGAGGTACAGCTCAGACAGACCCACAGACCCACATGGATATGAATGAAACAAACTCTACCCTGTTCCACTCTGCAGAAATCCCCTTGAGATTTCTTGAAAACTGGTTCTTCCGTGTATTCCTTTTCCTGTTCTCCTGTAAGAATAACTTGAATTTAGAGAGGGAAAGGGGAAAACGGGACTATTTGATAATCTGACCTTACTTTTTGTGTATCACAGAATCAGAATCACAGAATGGCCAGGGTTGGAAGGGACCTCAAGGATCATGAATCTCCAACCCACACGCAGGGCCACCAACCTCCACATTTAATACTAGACCAGGCTGCCCAGAGCCCCATCCAACCTGGCCTTGAACACCTCCAGGGATGGATGGGGCATCCACAAATTCTCTGGGCAGCTGTTCCAGCACCTCACCACTCTCTCCATAAAGAACTTCCCCTTGACATCCAACCTAAATCTTCCCTCCCTCGACTTAAAACCATTTCCCCTCATCCTGCAGTTATCTACCCTTTCAAAGAGTTGATAGAGTTCATCCTGGGCTGAACTGCTCCCTGCTGCAGCTTCTGCCACAGGCAAGTGGGAAGGTAGTAACAGCTGAGTATCACTGCACATTATGTCCCCTTCTCCCAAATAACAGCAATTGGACAAGAGGACATGGCCTCAAGTTGTGCCAGGGAAGGTTCAGGTTGGATATTAGGAAAAACTTCTCAGATAGAGTAGATGCAGTGGCACAGCTGCCCAGGGAGGTGGGGCAATCCCCATCGCTGGAGGTGATCAAGAACCACGGAGATGTGGCACTGAGGGATGTGGTCAGAGACATGATGGGTTGGGGTTGGACATGAGGATCCTGAAGGTCTTTTCTAATCACAGAATGGCCTGGGTTGAAAAGGACCACAATGATCATCTGGTTCCAACCCCCTGCTGTGTGCAGGTCGCCAACCAGCAGACCAGGCTGCCCAGAGCCACATCAAGCCTGGCCTTGAATGCCTGCAGGGATGGGGCATCCACAAGCTCCTTGGGCAACCTGTTCCAGTGTGAATGTTCCAACCTGAATGATTCTGAGATTCTGTGATTGTTTTCCCTTCACTGAACATAATAACCTGCTCTTGACTTCAGCATGTCTTCCCAAAAAGCATCCAAGATGTTACTCACCATTGATGTCAGGGAAAATATGCATAATTTCTAAGCTGTATGTGTTCAGCTCCAGGACCCAGACACTGGTTCTTGTTAAGCCTTTCCCCTCTAGATTAAAGAGTCCTTGAGTAGTTGTTAATTTCATTTTGCCAACAAAAGGGAAGGGAGGAGATGAGACAGGAAGGAGATGAAGCTGCCTGCCCAGACCCTCCATGGCTCATGGAATGAGTGTGGTTACACTAATGAGAGGAAGTGATGCAACTGCTAACATATCTAGCAATGTGTAACACAAAGAATGAACTCAAGCCCATTTGATTAAACTCATGTATGACAGGATTTGCACTTGCCATATTCCTGTCGTTTAATCTTTCATCATTTGATCACACATCATCTTCTCTCTGGAACTGACAGATCAACAAGGCAAAAGTTGCCCATGACATCCTGTTTTTCACAGATAGCTGACAGATTAAGATTATTTCAGCCTTCTTAATTATTCTATCAACTTACCTTTAAACAGGTTTGGACACCAGGTAATGAGAAAAACCTTTCAGAGTTTATCTGTGCGGAGGTGGTAGGACTAGTAATTTTCTAATTATCGTCAATAATGCACATTTTCAACGTACTGGAAAAATATTTGTTCAACCTAACCCTAAACAAATGCCAACAATTCATTGCAGGATAATCCCAGTTACAACTGCCAACCGTACGAATCAGACAGCAGGACAGAAAGGAAGAGCTCTGAGTCCTCCCACAGCCCCAGCCCCGCATCTCCAGCCCAGGAGCTTGGGAGATATCCCCCCAGCCAAGGGATTCACTGCAGCAAGAACAAATTTCAGGTCTCCTTCAGCACAGAAAAATTCCGGCGGTACAGTTACGAGGAAAACACCGTAGGAAATTACGACAGGTTCCTCAAGAGCAGCAGGAACCCTTTTCACCCCTACAAGAGGCAGATCAGTGAGGATGTCTTCCAGGAAGCACAGCAAACCCTTCCGCCTGAAGGTCCGTCTTTCAAAAACACCAGAAGTATTGAAGGTTTTGAGGGTCTCCCAGGATCTACGGGCCCTGATGAGTCTGAGTCATTTCCAACGCACCTTCCAAACATCTCCTCCGAACAGCCGTGGTGTAACAGCCTCCAGTACAGCACCACAGGTCAAGATCACAGTTCACAAGTCATGGTCAGTATATTTACTATTATTATTATTATCTTTTTCTGGTTTTAATTGGGAAAAAAAAGTATGCTTTTGGAATTATTTCATCTCAATGCGACTACGTAGATTTTAATCTCTACTGAATTTGTAGGCTAGGGCCCATGAAAGACATCAAGAGCCTATAAAAGACATCTATATTTATTTGTCAGAGTTCTCTGTCTTAATCCTTTCCCTTCTGAAAAACGATTATCTGGAAGGTGGATACGGACAAAGGATTTTCCAGTAGAAAGGAGCCTTAAAAATTCAAACCCGTCCCAATAACAGGTTTTATATCACTATCATCAATCAGCATTCTCAAGGGATGGAATTTTATGGTGTTTTTTCAAGCATGGCACAGCTGCCCAGGGAGGTGGTGGGGTCCCCATCCCTTCAAGTGTTCAGAACCACGGAGATGTGGCACTGAGGGCAACACTGGTGGTAGGTGGGTGGTTGGACTGGATGACCTTAGAGCTCTTTTCCAACCTGCTGTGAGGACACGTGCATCTGAGAACATACATACATTTCTTACAATGCCTTTGCTGAACTGCATTTTTCTTGGCAGCAAGAGGAGCTCTTAGATATCAGTTCTACTTACTTAAAACTAAGTACAAAGTCTGTTTATAGCAAGTACTGTGTGAAAGTATGAGGAGTCACTCGCCACGTGGTAGCATCCCTACAAGGTACCTCTGCTATGATCCACGTTGTAAACCCCATCTTCATAATCTGGTGCAGACAACCAGGAGAGGGCCCTGATCATTGGCTCTGGACTGATTTTGAGACAAAGAATTGCAGGGTTACGGAAAGAAAGGGGGGTAAAAAAAGAAACAAAAATAATCTCTAAAAGAACTAAGACAATTTAGCAAGGGATGGGGGACATTTCCAAGCTACTCACACTAGAGATGAAGTTGATAGAAACCTCCTGTTTCCAGGATATAATAATATAACCTCAGATCAGATGAGTTTAATGCAAAACCTGTATACAGTTACTGAGAAAAATCCCATTTTCTTGCCAAATACAAAGCTGCAAAGAATGTAAAATGAGCGCTGCGTGTGCCCTGCCTGAAGCACCTCTGACTCCTCAGACCAACTGCTCATTCATGTCTCCACCAATTCCATTAAAGAGCAACTTCTAAGCTCCTACACAGCTTACAGGCTGCTGGCAAGTTGATTTTTCTGACCAAAAACATCATCTTACAGTCACCAAAATAGCACAAACATTTGTTAATACTGGAAGTGGCAGTGGGATGACAAGAGGATGGTACAGGGAATAATGAAAGACAAGTCAGGACAGCAACTGATGGCATTAAACTGAGGCGTTTTCTCTAACAATGCTTTCCTTAAATATCTTCTAGCAGGATTCAGACCTCAAGCTTAGGACATCCCCACTGGAAGGGCAGCCTGGGTTGTACTGCTATCAGCCCCAAGTGCAGCAGATGTACTGCTCCTCACATCCCTTCCATCAGGTCAGTACCAAAAATGCTGTGTTCCTAGTGCTGTAGTCATACAGTAGTCACAGGAACAACTCCCCTCCTCCCCCCCAACAAAAAAACAGATGAAACAATACCTCTTGTTAAAGTAAATAACAGCAAGACGATGCTCACTGAGTTTGGTGGCTCATCCATCTCCTTTACAGTCTTTTGGCTCTTATTCCCAGTGAAGGATTATTCAGCTGAAGCATAACTAACTATAATGCTGATGCACGACAGTGCACAATATTAAGGCTATATACACATATAGGTATAAAATACATACAACTGAAGTGAGCACGCTTCCCTTTTCACTGCTGTTTTGATACCAGTAATATTACTACCCATCTGCATTAAGCACGTTCAAAAAACCCACAACGTTACAGCTGTCTTCTGGGAAAACTGCTAGGCAAGACACAACAAGCACTGCAGGAGGAGAAAGTCTCCCATCCACCTGCAAGGTTGGCAGGGTGACAGCTCTCCTACAAGCAGCAGGCTTTGCTTGGAGTTTGTGCTGCTTGATGTTGTAAAAGCATGGCGACGGATTCTACTAATGGAAGAAAAGTGAGGGCTGTCAGCAGGCAAAGTCACAACAGGTTGAGATGCTGTCCGTGTGCCATCGTCAGAGGCTAGGAAATGAGCAGTGATACAGGACAGAAGAAATGGAATAACACCTTTGGCATGTATTAATGTTTTACCTCTCAAATCTGTATGGAACGGACAACTTAAATCACTTTGGAGTTAAATCACGTGGAGTTAAACTCAGAACAGCCCCCTGGCCTGGAGCAACGACGCTTCTCTTTTCATTAAGGGATGAGAGAGATCAACTCCTTCATTAACTCCATCCAAACGATAAAGTGGCCTCACCTTCCCCTTTGCTGGACACAGCACAAATGGTGACTCAGCTGGAAAATTACTTCTTATGGACCTGAAAGAAGTGGCAGACACTGCCAACCCACCCACCATAAAACACGGACACCTTTCATCCAGCACAACCAGCTCCAGCCAGTCGTACCAGAGCATTCCCCAGCCTTGCTCCCTCAAAAAGGAGTAATGAGACCAATAAAACAGAAATCACCATGAAAACACCCAGTTCTTGCTTTTGGTAGCAACATCCCAGCCAGTTCCTTCTTAGAACCCTTTCAAAGAGGCGCTGAAACCAATGGCAGAAAGAAACTAAGACGTATAAATTAGTTACCAGGAAAAATTTTCTTGATGACTCTGAAAAATCCATATTAGAGTCTTCAGAGGAACCATAAAAACTCATGACACAGGGCTTGCAGAGGTGAGCAGCACCGCACCAGAACATGGCTCAGCAACCTTTGAGCACCAGCAAAGGCACGCAAGCAGATTTTTAATAGCCTGTGACACGATTCCTAATTTTGGCCGTGCCCTACCCTTGGCATCTGGAAAGATTCAGCTGTAAGAGGCAGAAATTCCTCTCTTACCAACTGCGAGTTGAGTGGGAGCCTTCAGCACACCGAGAGCCAACTGATGGTATCTCAGCTCCGTGGGGCAGCGCTGCTTTGTTCTTGAAAGCTGCTTGCCAGCAGGTTGGAACTGTAATTCAGAACAGAACAATACGTGACCAACCGCTGCGATAGGAAATGGAGAGCAAACTGGCAGAAACTCTGTTGCAATCAAGGCAAGGCACATGCTGTATTTCCCTTGACCTCCCTGTGTTTTTGCCCTGCTATATTTCTATCAGGGTGACTCCACGATGGGCCATCCATCGCTGAGAGTATTGAGAATTGGAAATGCCTGGAGATCTCTTGAAGAGATGCCAGTAAATGGATGGCCAAAGGAATAAATTCTGTGCACGACTGTGCACGACCTGGAGATGATAGATAGGGTACAACGACCCATTTTTCACAAGTACTCAGTAGAATAACGTGCAATAATAAACAGTTCTTTAGCATGGAACTCACTGCAACAAAACTGGTAGCAGCCAACATCCCAGCCCATCCCTCTCCAGCTTCTCCTCCTTCTCAAGCACTGATTAGTAGCACCAGTGTGTTTCAAAACTGTGCTAGACAGACTTCAGTTCTGCCTTTGCATAACAGCTATTAAACGTAGGTAGAGGACAACATCCTCAGAATTAAAGCTTGGTATTTCTATAAAGAAAGAACCATTCTGAGAACCCGTTGCCAAGCCAAGTGACATCTCTTTGGTTGTCTCCCCAGTACCCATCAGGAGGCAGCTACCCGGTGACTTACATCACCTCTTCGCACTACCCCTACCAAAGGATTGCTCCTCAAAGCACTCAAGAATCCCAGCAGCCTCTATTTCCCAAGCCCATCTACTCCTACAGGTAAGAAAACTTTTTTTTTTTTCAACTCCTAATGCTACAGGAGACACACTGTTTACCCACAGCATATTTTTGGCATAATTTGCAGGAAGGTGCTTACCTACCCTGTTCCCAGTGTGCTCTGTCCTGCTTGTATGAATCATAGCATGCTCCAGACTTCGGGGCCAAAGCAGAGGGAAATGAGATGATGTAAAGAAGAAAAGCTAGGCCTTTTCCTAATGCAAAGTCTTAGGTGCTGCAAATCAGCATAAGACTATTCATAATTAAGTGTCTTTGCAGGACCTGTATTAGTGCTGTTTAATTCCCCATGAAGGGTGAGGAAACGTCTAGAAAACACATCAGATGTGCTGCTTATCACATAGGATTAGCCCCCAAACATCACTCAGGTCAGACAATTTTTAATTATACCTTCTGCCACTCAGCTTGATACTTTCCATGCGCCCCTTATCAGTGTAAGCATTGAAGCACAGCCTTCAGACACACAGCCAGGACTTAAGGTCTCGAGTCCATTTTCCATCATTTTACTTGAAAATATGAGCTATTCATATCCTGCACGGACTTCGACCATTACATCTAAGAGTGATGCACTGCTTGTGGCTGAGTGGGAACTGTCAGCATCATTGGTATTCATAGATCCATTCAGGATGGGAAAGAGCTCTCAGATCCAAGATCCTCAGATCCAACCCTAACCCACCCCACCATACCCACTGACCACGTCCCTCAGTGCCACATCCCCACAGCTCTGAAACACCTCCAGGGATGGTGACCCCATCACTCCCTGGGCAGCTGTTCCATTGCATCACTTCTAGAGAGTGAATTGTTCCCAATATCCAACCTGATTCATTGTATGGGAGTGAAAACCATGGTCGTCACAAGCTCTGAGACAAACATTGTGTTTTCTGACAAGCTAAAACAGTTTTCTGGTTTCTCTCCCCAAAGCATCCTGATCTTCATGGCACTCAAAAACAGCAAGACGGGCAGTTTGCCAGTCAGCGAGATTTACAATTTCATGACAGAGCACTTTCCTTACTTTAAGGTGAGTTCTGTGCCTGGGCAGAATATGTGTACATAGTGCAGCATGTAGTGCAACTGAACACAAAAGTTTATTAAGAACAGCTCCAACTTGGAGCTTGCATAGATAACAAGCAGCCACTCCTCGCTAACAGCTCGTAAAAGGGATAAATATTTCTAAAAACAACATCATCCCTTCCTCTCAGATATCAGATACAGGCAGAACTGGTCCTGTGGCTTCCCGTGCCATTACAGTACCTCCAAAATCATGGAAGCAGAGGCATCTTCACAGAATCATTGAGTTGGAAGGGACCTTTAAAGGCCACCAGGTCCCCCTCCCTGCAGTGAGGAGGGTCACCCACAGCTCCATCAGCTGCTCTGTTCTGGAGCTGGGATGTCATCATGGGCAACTTCATCTGAGGCATGCCCTGTAAAAGGAAAAGTATAAGATGTGATAAATGGTACTAAGCTGATAATTACACGCTCATGCTGGTGAAGGCATGGATGCACAGCTTGCACCAGATGCTATTGAGATTTAAATCCGTGCTGTAAGAGCAAATGGCTTCTTGCACTTGGGATGCAGGTGGGAGGAGATTAGTCAGCATCCAGCCCCAGAGCAGAGGGATTACAGTTAGATCTCAAGGGAGCTGTAATTGAATTGCTGGCTGCTGCTCTACACAGAGCTTTGTTCTTGCTGATTCCCCAAAAAAAGTCTTGCTAAATGTCCAGAGCAAGTGGCCTACAGCTGTTAGCAAGACCTAAAACCAAAGCAATGTGAGGCTTGTTCTGCTTCCTATTGCAAATAAGCATGCAGCAATTCAAATAGATTCAGTGCAACTACAGAAAGACGATTCAGATGTCCCTGTTAAGGAAAGAGCACTGAGAATCATTAAATGTCCTGATACAATTATACAGCGGTGTCAAGTGGTTTTGAGGATAAATAGCAACTAAAATATAATATAATATAATATAATATAATATAATATAATATAATATAATATAATATAATATGCCAATAGTCAGAGGGCACACATTACCATCTTCTAGGAACATACCATGAATAAGTTTCAAGTGGAAAAGTGAGATGACTAAAATCAGTTTTATAGGTATAACGGTGTGCCCACGGCAGTTCATCAGACCAAACTGAAGTTACTTCTCCTCTGTCTCACAACACAGCTTTAAATGACTGTTTTAGGCCTAAACCTCGCTCTTCTCACTCATCAGAACCCATCTGTTCCACTGGGAGGTCTTCTTGCAGATCCTCGTGGCTTTTTCTTCGATTATTTATGTCAGTGGGAATGAGGTCACAGCCTTCATAAGCAATATAGGAAAAGAATGGTGCAGGGGTTATTTTGGAACAGTCCAAATTTTGCAACTTTTTTCTGCCTTTTTTTTTTTTTTTTTCATTTTACTTAGAAATACAGCCAAATAATTGAATATTTTCATCCTAAACATCCTTAAAATAAGAACAGAATAAGCAAATGTGCCCATAAGGACTAAGCCCTACCTCCATCTGGGCTTTAAGGCAGCCCATGGAATTATCAATATTTGACAAAAAACATATTTTGAGAGAATTTAACAAGTTAAAGCAATACAGAAATCAGCAAACAGCCTCATGTTGGTGCTACAGAACTCAGTAAACAGCAGGATTCACCAGGGGGAGGGGAAGCAATTAGAACAGGACTGAAGTAGAGCACAAGTGTATGTAGAATCTTGCTGGGAGACATGAGATGATACAAGCCTAGTCAAATTAACTCGTATTCGCTGCCACAGCAAATTTAGTTTCTATGATGCAACAATCTCATTTCTAGTTGAAACAGAGCAATCCAACTCCTACGTCCCAAAAAAAAAAAAAAAATCATCTACACAGCTGAAGGTGAATTACTCTTTGATGTACCTCTCCCTTCTCTTGAGACCTAGATTTAAAGAGAAAGGGTTTTGCAAGATCACTGAACTCTTTAAACTTCAAGAGGCCGTCGGGATCAATGGCTCTGCACAACGACCTTTTTTGGCTCATCTTTTTTTGCTTCAGTGCAATTAGAGCTGAACGCTGAGCTTTCATCTCGTTAATTGGGCTATTGCCAGTGGTCCATGAGGTTGGGAAGGTCCAACGGAGCTTCATTCCACATAACTTCTTCCACACTGCTCTGGAAGCAACGATGGGCCAAATCATGGCAGCAAAACAACTCCAACTGTACAATGGTAGCTCCAGCAGGCAGAGCTCAGTTCATTAACCAAGCATCAAATGTGAAAATAAAAACTGGTGACAGAGCAGTACTTCTAACGCTTTGTTGGAGCATTCCTTCGGGGCCCAGCTAGGTAAACAACTATTTCTCACTGCTCAGCAGTACCGAGTTTAGTGCAAGAACCTGTTCAACTCTTGGCAGAGCTCCCCGGAATAAATCCGTGTACTTTTTGCTTTTACGTTCCTAAAACAATCTCACCATTCACACCCCCACGCATCTGAAAACCTCTGAGAAACACAACGCCACTCCCAGCGCCAAGCAGAAACACTAATTATCCCGTCTCGATACAGAAGGAGGTTTGTGCAGCCTCGCACACGCGGCCAGGAGTGTGAGCACTCTCCCAGGTTAGCACAGCTTAATTGCACATCTTCCCTTGGAGAAAGCTGTATTTGCTTTTGGAGCTGGCAAAAAAGCTTGGATGTGATCCGCAAGGGGCAAAAAATGGTCATCGTAGAACCACGGAATCATTCAGGTTGGAAAAAAGCTCTCAGATCCCCAAATCCAACCCCAACCCACCCCGCTGTGCCCACAGCCCTCAGTGCCACATCCCCATGGTTCCTCAACACCTCCGTGGACGAGGACTCCCCCCCACTTCCATGGACAGCTGTGCCAACGCATCCCCGCTCATCTTCAATCTTACCCTATAGCAGAAAGGGCTGTAAGGGGTTGGGTTGGGTTTTTTGTACTGGTTTTTTTTAATCATAGAATTGCAGGTTGACTCACCGATGGGATTGGCCAACAGAGCGGTGAAATGCTGACATCAGGTGGACAAAAGGGTAGAAACGGTGCTGTTAGGAAAGACAAATACTTTGTGTTGTAGCAGATTACGTGTATTCAGCTTTCACAACTAAGCAGTATTTTGGATGAAGAAGCAAGCATTAAACGTATTACATTTATCAGGAATTTGTCAGAAATGGAAAATGTGGTATTTCCCAGCTTGTAGTGAAGGTCTGCCTTGGGGGACAAGGAGTTGATGTTCCAATGGAAGAATCCAAAGGTCAAATTTCATAGAATCAACGTAATCCTATAATTCCGTGGAATTTCTCTAGAATTCTATGATTGTACAGAATTTCTGTAGAAGACAAGGAGGTGACCCATCAGGAATTCACCACAGGAATCCTATGATACGGACCAGCACGCTCATATGCAGCATCTCAGTGTGATAAGCAGCATCTTTTTCCTTCTTGCAAAACAGTCCTCAGAGTAAGGAAGGAATTCTGCTTGACCAGAAACCACCTAAATACAAACGGAAGAATCACTTTAATGCAATGTCAGGTTTAAAGAACCCCCTCCCAGCTTCCACCACTGGCTTAAAAATAAGTGTAAAGCAAAAAGGTGTAGCAATCAAGTGTAGAAACCCATATTGCACTTGTAGGGCACGTGATCAAACCATTTGGGCACAAGAATAACTTTCCTTTGAACATACCAGTTTCATAACATAGAAAATATCACCTAAGCAGTATTATATTATAGTCTCACCAAATGGACGATTCTATATGGGATTGATTGATTTTTTTTCCCTTGAAAAACCATTCTTAGATTGGCTTTGTGTTTCCAGACAGCCCCGGATGGCTGGAAGAACTCTGTGCGCCACAACTTGTCCTTGAACAAATGCTTTGAGAAAGTTGAAAACAAATCAGGCAACTCTTCTCGGAAAGGCTGTTTGTGGGCTCTGAACCCTGCCAAGATTGATAAGATGCAGGAGGAGCTGCAGAAATGGAAGAGGAAAGATCCAGTGGCTGTGAGGAAGAGTATGGCAAAGCCAGGTCAGTAATAAGTGAGTGCGTTAGCTCTCAAGCAGCAGCCCACAACTTGCTTTGCAATGCACACCAAGCTGTGCAAGAGCATTTATTGCATTACTTAGGAAATATTTAAGGGTGCTTCCCTTAACATAAAGTCAAAAAAGCAGAATTAAAGACCTGGTTTTGCTTCTAAATAGGCACAAAGGTGTTCTATCGTAACGCTTCGTGAGATGTTAAAGCAAACCTGAATTAAGTGCTAGAGAATAAAATTGAAATTATCCAATAAATACCCAGCCTTTAAACACAGCAATATAATGTTCCCCATTCACATTCAGCACTGATTATTTAGAAGAGCATTTCAGGCTTTTGGGGTTATTATCCTACAGGTCGGTGCTTTTGTTTGCCATCACGCCCACCCCGTTCCCCGGCTGCAAGCTACGAGGATGAAGGCTCTGCAGGAAACACCTTACGGATTTTGTTTTTCTTTGTTTTGTAGAAGAGCTCGACACGCTGATAGGCGACAAAGGTGAAAAGCTGCGATCTTCCATCATGTCGTGCAGCCCGAATGGCGTTGCAGGCGCATCCCTCTCCAGGCAGATGGCAGTCCAACCCCACTCCTTGGGCGAGCCCTCGCTTTCCTCTATACCACAGCCTCTGCATCCCATCCACTCATCAGCAGCAGCTCTCCATGCCAAGAGCACGTTGCCAAACTTGCTCGGAGGGCAGCAAACCGCATGCTACACCGCCCCGCAGGGCTTCCCTCCAATCTCAAGTGCGTTAATGCCGCAGACACCCGACCATCAGACAATGTTTCCTTCTGGGGAGGCTCCAAACGAACTGCGGGGTCAACCCAGCATCACCCAGGACTCCCCACTGCCGGCCCAGACCCCCCCGAGCTGCGGCGTGAAGGTGATGACAGAGCACTGCACGGCCCGCACGGTGCCCGACCCTCTGCTGCAGGAGGGGGACCTCAGCAACGACATCGATGCTCTGAATCCGTCCCTCACCGACTTTGATCTCCAAGGTAGGGATCCAAGGTAGTCCTGCGGCGTAGATTTAGGTTGTAGTACCTCACAGCCCAGCACAGTGGCAGTATTCTGGATGCTGCCCCCAGGAATCATAGAATCGTTAATGTTGGGAAGGACTTTTACAATTATGAGTCCAACCATCAGCCCATCTCCACCATGCCAGCTCATAGAAGCACTGAGGTTGGAACAGGACTCCAAGATCGTGAGTCCAACTATCAACCCATCCCCACCCACAGAATCACAGAATGGATTGGAAAAGAACTCAAAGATCACCATGTCCAACTGCCAACCCATCCCCACCATGCCCACTAACCGCGTCCCTCAGCAAGAAACCTTCAGTGATGAAGATGAGAAACGCAGCCCTGCTGCAGTCCCTTAGCGAGTCCTTTCACTGAGATAAGTTTAATGGAAAGATGATAAACTTTCTGTTGTACTTTAGGGAAAAAAAAAGCCAAACCATCATAGAATGGGTTGGGAGAAACCCCAAAGATCATCTAGTTCCAACCCCTGTGCCACAGGCAGGGTTGCCAACAACTAAGTCAGGCACCAGTTCAGGCTGCCCAGGGCTCCATCCAACCTGGCCTTGAACAGGGATGAGGCATCAAGTCATATTTCTGATTTTTTTTTTGGTCATGAAATCGTATGTCCAGTAATTCAGCATGCCATTCAGATAAGCTATGTCGTACAAAGACAATGAGCCCAGTTGTGCAGTACTATTATCTGCAGATTCACTTTCAGGATCTCACAAGAAATTACAGAGGCAATTTCTCCTTTTCAAAATAGGGGTTTTCTTTCCACAAGAAGTTACACTTCATGAGGGCACAGTTAGTGGTCATGGTGGGGATGGGTTGATGGCTGGACTTGATGGTCTCAGTAGTCTTTTCCAACCCTAATGGACCTGTAGTTCTACTATTCTATGATATATTTGCAACAGAATCTTGCCAATTTTCAAGCAAAGCTATTCTCTTAACATAATTCTGCTTTCCCCAAAATGTACGTTTTTATGGAAACAAACTAATAGCAACTAAACCATCACAAGTGACTAAGAGTACTTAGACATACAGCACACGTAGCTGTATAGTTACCTATTTCTTGGGTGTTTCAAAAAGCACGGGTAAAGAAAGTTAATCAATCCTTTCTGTTTTGTCCCAGGCAATCTCTGGGAGGAGCTGAAGGATGACAGCCTAGCTGTGGACCCCCTGGTTCTCATTTCATCATCCCCAACGTCCTCCCAGTGTTTCCCTTCTCACTGCCAGATGGAGAACAGCAACACAGCCACCATCCCAAATGGAACCCCGCACAGTAACCTACCCGACCTGCAGCTCACTACTCTTTACTCTGCCTTTATGGAGTTGGATACAGTGTCTCCTGCCTACCTGAGTAATCCTGGATCCAAACCTATAGCATTAATGTGAACCACAGCTATCGTTCTTTCTGTCCACACACAGCCCAAGCCATCACACGTGCCAGACTGACACCTACTACAAGAGCTGAAATTGGAATCAGAGACCTTCCAGAACTCGTCTGCAGGATATGTAGCCTTACTACCATAATTTTCTACAGATACTTTAAAAAAAAAAGAAGAAAAATGAAAAAAAGAAGAAAAAAAAAAGAAAAAATGAAAAAAAAAAGAAAAAGAAAACTATTTAAAGATAACACTGTTAACTGCTGTGCCAGTCGACACCGTTTTATTAAGGCACTCATCCTCTGCATCTTCCTGATACAAATGACTGGAAGAAGAAAACGAACGATTTTCAGATATTTTTTATGAAAGCTGCTTGCAAAAAAAAAAAATACTCTAACTTATTTCCTGAAGCCAATGATGTCAACGTCATCTTCTAAAGACCACTACTAAAAAATCCTCATACTAAAACGTTCGTAGTCTCCTTGAAAGGATTTCTGGGTTTTGGTAACAAGAACGCGACGTGAAGATTCTACAAGTATTAGAAGACCAAGGAGTGGCTGCTGACAGACTAAACCAAAGCAACAAATGTACTTTAATGAAAAATCTATGGTTTACTGTGTTTAAAAAGAAATTCAAGACTTTTTTTTTTTAATAAAACAGACAAACAAACAAAAAAAAAACCCTGCTTTAATAGAATTTCTACTTGGCTGGAAATCATTTGTATTCATTCCTCCTTGTTGTCCAGATGAGCTGAACAGTAAGATGAGCTATTCAAGCATTAAATCAAGGTTTTGCTTTAATTTCTACTATGCTTTTCTGATAAAGACAGAGAATAATAATGATTGCAGCTAGCCAGATCTGGAGAGCATTGCTATTTCAACACCCAGTGCATCCATTGGGGTCTTGGCTGGTGCTGAACTAGCCCACACTTTGGTATAACATACTGCTCCTAATGTGAATTAATACATAAGTACGCTCTCCCAGATGACTTCTCCATTCATGTTCTATGGAAACATGGAAGAAACTGAGCAGGTTAAAGTTTCATAGAATCATTAAGGATGGAGAAGACCTCCCAGATCCTCAAGTCCAAACGCCAACCCATCAAACCCGTTGGAGTAAGAGTAGGTCACTTACACTCAGGTTCAAATCTGCACCCTCAGCTGTGCCTAGCAGCCTAAACTTAAACCAAAATCAGATTAGGGGCAGACAGATAGAGAAGATTTAGAAAGAATACGTGTGACATAACCTCATAATCTCTCATCATGAAGGCCACGCTTGAGCCCCTCTCGCTCCGCGTTGCTACGCAGCTAACAATCTTCCCAACATTGGCAGAGGGAGTGATGTCACAAAAATGCTTAAGAATGTACCAGAAGGGCATTAGGAAGTTCCATGAGTCTAAAAACACAGCAGAACTGTAATAAAGTGTATGTGATTTAAGCAATCCTGGAGACTGGCACATGAAAAACCCATTAATACCGACAGTATGACTACAGGCAATACCGAGACGAGCTACAGAAACTCAAAATTCATAGATATTAAATATAGATGTATATTATTTTTCTACATTAAGGACTTAATTCAAGTGGAAAGCAATTCATATATTCTAAGATCTCCATTTAGCAGACCGTGGTATTCTTTCAGATGCACTGATGCATTCTATACATGCAAGCATACACACGATCACAACCAGGAGAGAAAAAAAGAGAGAAGCCTAAGCTTCATAATATAATCCATGGAAATAAGTCTTTGAAGAATGACCAGATGTCAAGCACAGAAAGGGAAATTAACACCCTGACGTGTTTTTCCTGTATTTTTGCACAACTTTCTTGACATACTGTATCAACAGGGCTTGTCCTCCCTGTGTAACTGCTAATTTATTCTAAGCACTTTATTTTTTTCCAGTGCATTCTATATGCGAGACACACAGAAATTAAAAGCCACTCCATAATTTTTCTTACGTTAAGAAAAAAAAAAAGAATAATTCATTAAAAAAAAAGACTGCAAGTTATTAACTTATATAAATAATCTGGCTTCCCTCCCCTTTAGGCTCTTGTATGGAGAGTTTCATTGTCTTGTTTCAGTGCAGCATTACTGATTATGACATGCACATAAAAAAAAAACCAAACACTGACATATGGGAACCTGAAGAAAGAGTCATATGATAAATTATAATTCCAGAAAAAAAAAATAATAATAAAAAAAGCCTAACCCATACCACGCAATAAGAATTGTGCACACGCTGCAAATCTCTGTGAGATACGTTTGCATTAAAGACCATTTTAAGTAGCAGCACCAATACAGGGGGGAAAAGAATGAAGTTTTCCCGGTCTGAGGTTAATGATGTTTGCTTAATCAGCCTGAATCAAAAGCATTATGCAAACAAGCGAGGAAAACAATCTTAATTACCATAAAAATCTCTTATTATGAAACAAAGCGTTCACTCTTGCCCTCCCTGGCACACGATTAGGAAAACATTTGCAGTTAAAGTTTAGGATTTATTAGCTCAACTCCGCGCGTTTCATTGAAACATCAGAACATTCAGAGAACAGAAATGATATCTGAGCTCTGCTTTCAGGCTCTTCTCCCTTGACGTGAGCTCAGATTTACTGTTGCTGCCAGACCTCTGACCAAAGCAGGCTGCCTGCATTTCCCCTGTTATAAAATCATCACCTCTGAAAGGTTCATTTCCTTTTCCACATGCTGTGCTTTTCAGCTTAATCTCTCAAAGCCTTGGCACAGCACTGAGCCACTTGGAAATGTGATTGATGGTGTTATGGGACAGAGAAAGCACAAAGTAGAGCATCAGTGCTGCTTCGTGCCTCTGACTTACGTGGGATGAAACAAATAATTGGAGCGTAGGGCTGAGGTAATTGGTGGTTATTGATTACTAGGGAAAGTTTCTTCTCGTAAGGAGCATCGATGGCAGCAGCACAGCTGCACAGGGAGGTGTTGGGGTCACTGTGGAGGTGTCCCAGAGCTGTGGGGATGTGGCACTGAGGGCTGTGGGCATGGCAGGGATGGACCTGTGGACACGAGAACTTTTTTCTAACCTTCATCATCCTGTGAGTCCACGTCCTCAAGAGCCAGAATTCCTTTCCCAGAGCTGAGCTCACGCTGACCTTGCTGCACATCGTTTCTCCGCAGATAAGCACAGCACAAGGCCAGCACGCAGCAATGAGCAGCTGCAGGTCTTGCTAGAGCTGCTAGTTCAGCTGGATGACTACAAAGCACCAAAACATCCCTTTGCTCAGGAGCCCATGTCTGACCCAAAGATAAGAGGGGAAAAAAAAAAAAAAAAAAAAAAAAAAAAAAAGTTGGACTTTTTATTCCCCACAAAAGCAACTAGGCTCGGTCATCGATAGGTGCATTACTCAGTTTTTTTAATCACCAGGAAAGCAATTATGCCAAGCAAGGTGCAGTACGACACAGGAGGGAGGGGGATGGTGACTGATGGCCTCACCTCACAGCCAGGCAGCCAACAGACCCACGAGTGGCAACTAATGGTGGGGGCATCCAGCCCCATTCGAGGGGACTTGAAGGAGGAAGGGAAGGGCTGGTGGGTAGAAAGCAACCCAGCACAGTGCAGGCAAAGCTGTAATGGCACATTGAAGGAAATACTCAGGGCCCCTGCAGTGGGTGGGGATGAGTAATGAGCTATAAACGAGGCAGGTGTGGCCCTGCAATATTTCCTATGCTTTGCTTTCCTCCCCAGAAACCACCACGGAGGGTTTGTGCCATGCGTTGTAGGCACAAGGGCTGGGATGGGCCTTTTAGGAAAAGATGATGTGAGGTGGGAGTTTTTCAGTAGAAGTAATTTTTTTTTTTTTTTCCCCAAAAAAAAAACTAGGGAAGGGGATTTGCCCAGCCTGGGTGAGCAAAGAATTTAAGATCTCATTCATCAGCTACTGAAGAATTTAACTTCAACCACATGAAGGAGCCCAGCGTGTTTGTGCCTGTTGGAGGCACCAGGTTCAAGTGGTTGCTTGTGGCGTTTACCTTTAGCTCCATAACTTTAGAACATCAGAAGGAAAAAGAAAGAAAAAAAAGAAAGCAAAGGGGAGAAGGAAGGAGGGGAGAAGGAAGGAGGGGAGAAGGAAGGAGGGGAGAAGGAAGGAGGGGAGAAGGAAGGAGGGGAGAAGGAAGGAGGGGAGAAGGAAGGGAAGAAAGAGGAACCCTCAACTATGGAAAAAAAAATTACTATATAGCCAGTGGATCAAACTGCAGTGCTTTTGGTGCAAGATTTTGCTTTGGGTAGAAATAACCTCTCATTTCAGCTTCTCTTCAAGAAATCTGAATGCTAGATAAAATAATAGTTGCCAAAGTGGTGACACTTGTACTTAGATTTCATGCAAGTGTCTCCTGCCAGACAGCCCAGGAGCCCTATGCATCTATTTTCTCAGCTGCAAAGTACATTTCTGTAGTATTGTTTCAAACCTGATTAATAGCATGTAGCAAAACTCCACCAATTCTTGAACTGGAACCATTGCCTGACTCTATAGCTCAACTACGAAGGTGCTACATGATCCTGTTTGCTATTTCCCTCTTCTAATTCATTCTGTCATTCAGCAGGAGAAGGAAAACCAAAGGTGTTTGGAACTCGCGTCCTCCATATATATTAATGTTCATAAAATAAATATTATGTATTTCACGTATCACAGCTTCCCTGCCTGCTTTTATTTCTTGCCACGCATTACTTTCATACGCCAGCATCGTTAAGTCACGGGAAGATGAGCACCCCTGAATAATGACAGAAGAATTACAGCACGGTGTGAGCACGCACCATGTGCCAAGGAGCCGATAGTGTAAGAAACACAAACCTGGGGGACAACCAACATCTCCACTCGAAGTCAAACTTGGAGCGCATCCCCACCACGGCTGAGCGAAAACCCCACCACCAACCTGTGCTCACCTCACTGCAGGCTTCAATGTCACACAGCTCCAAAAAATGAAGATGGAACGACCTCCACTGGCTCCGCTTCACGTCAGATGTTTTGCCTTTGTGGCAGGGACACGAATCACGATGTCACACCAGCTCCTAAAGTCACTTCTCCATAGAGCAGCTGGCAGAGTTTCCCGAAGCACAACCAGCTGCAAAACAGCCATCTGCAGGAATCTTGTCAGCATGCTTGGAGAATAATTCACTCTAATTATGCCCCGAAAGATTCTCACCCATCAGAAGGCTGAACCCCATTTCAAACTTTAATTAATTGTCCTCCTTACGTAGCTACAAGCCACAGACGAGCTTCTACACGTGTACTGTCATCACCTGAAAGTGAAGGTGGTTACATCCACTGGTGCAAAAATGGCATTAAAACATCGAGGAAAGGCAACGAGAATTTACTTTCCATCCACGCTCAATAATACAAAAATCTATCATTAAATAACACTATAAAAGAGACAGCATTAAAGAACGGACAAACACCTCCATCTCTAAGATCAATAATTTATTTCATTTTTTATTATTATTATTATTATTTTTTTTTACATTTTGGATGTTACAGGAGAAGAAACGCTCGCTAAGGAGAGTGACACGCTGAACCATTTGCCCTCGCTCGTGGAAGAAATTAAAGCATATTGCCTAGATGCACGTTTATGCCTAAACTGCCAATATCCAATTAAGCAAGCGTCCATCCCTGCCCCGTCCTTGCCTAGGTTAGATTGAAGTTCTCTCCTCCTACAGGAAGACTGAATCGTAGCATCAAGCTTTGTTCTCCCCCTTTATCCATCTGCAAACAAGTCAGGCAGATGGGAACCAAAGCCACGACAGTGGAATCAGTGCCAGCATTCCTTTTTTTTCCTTTTTTTTCCTTCATTTCCAACCGGTTCCTCGCTGCCCCAGAAGGTACAAAGAATTATAAATGAACTGGATAAAAATGCTCCTAACGTTTTTCTCAATGGTGTATTAACTAGAGTCCTACTCTCCTTCCACAAAAAATATATAGATATATATATTTTTTTTTATATATATAAATACATTTTAATACAGACAATCCTGACTCTATGCTAAAAAAAAAAGTCGATGTCACATTCAAACAGGGTTCCTCAGGGTAGCATTGGGGTGCAAGCAGACAGCACAGTGGGCATTAACACAGTGATTCTAGGGAGGCAGTTACTACAGAACAGATACAGACACACAGTTCCACCCTCTGTCAGGCTGTGCTGTGAGATCAGACATAAGCGAGCATCACATTCTTCAGATACAGTGCTTAGAAAATGATATGAACAGCCAACGAGATTTCACATAGGGAAACATTTGTGTGAACAGTGCTCCATATTAATCACACTCGTGCTGGGCTGCTGGCATCATCATGGGATGGATGGAAGGGACCTCAAGGACCATCCACCACTTCCAATGCCTTGCCCACTCCAAAACTCCAGAGAAAAAGCATTTACATCTATACCACCACTACAACTTTGGGCTCCAATCAGCTGCAATTAACATTTTTCCCATCCTTGTCCCCCTCCCTCCTTTTTTTTTTCCCCCCAAAGATAACTTTTACCACTGCAGCAACGCACGTAAACCCCTCTGATGACCATCACACAACACGTACAGTTCTGATGGCTCTTCATTTTTTTGGCCATCACACAATTTCCAAAACTGAGAAAAGACTTTCTGCATTAAGAATGGGATAAATCCACATCAGGGGGAGTTCATTCAGAAATGTCATGAGATAAAGGACATCTTCAGCATATATGTGTATATATATATATATATAAGTATATAAAGATATATATATATATATATATATATGAGATAATAATTTAGGCTTTGCTCAGAGAACAAAACCTCCTGAAATTTAAACTATTCCTGTTGTGTTCTTGAAAATAAATCGTTCTACTTCTCCCTCTGAAGTTTGTGGCTTATTGGCCCATGCAGCCAACCACAAACGTTTTACCACTGTTCTTCCTTGCAAACTCTGAAATTTAAATGAATTTCAAGTAAAATAAGAAAGTTTGGGATATAACTTCCCTATTCTTTTTTTTAAAAAAAGGACACTATAAGCACCCACTTCTTTATCTAAGGTTAATTCAGTATCAGCACACATCTACTCGACATCACATGGTGAGAGATGACGAGTCACTGCTAACATAACCTAGGTTGGATTTTGATGTGGCTTTTCTTTTCATTCAGAAAGCCAGAACCCAATTTTCCACGCTGGTTCATTCGAACAGAGCTACAGTGCTAAATAATTACAATCATTTTGAAAATGAGAAAAATAAAATCATCGTTCTGGTGCTGCTTACGGGCAAAAGCAACGCGTTCCAAGTCAACAACGTAGATTTCCATCTGGTTATGCAGCAGTGTAAAGGAAACTCCCTCCTGGTCAATGATTTCCATGTTTGTAAATAGTGTGAGTGGAGATTTGAAATGAATGCAAACATGTTTGCACGTGAAACGGAGCCATAATGATAACCGTGGCCATGGGAAACACAAAAGAACCTCCCACGTATCCCACAGGAAAGTCTGGTTGTTTCCATTGGCTTGGGAATAGGAATTTATTTGTAGGAAATTGTGGAGGCTTCAAAAAAATAAAGTAAAATAGAAATAAATGAAAAGGGAACCGTCCTCGCTCCGAAAAGCTGAAGTTAAATAGGTTGGAATTGATGTTCTTGAAAATGCACCACAATTTTCTCCAGGTTTAAAGTATTCCCGTCATTAGAAAACAAGAAATACACATAGTAAAATATCTCCCATATGGCTCACACTGAATTCTCTATTAGCCTGAAATTAGGACCCATCCAATCTCAATTAGCAGAACAGTAAGCAGGTGTGGGGACAGAGATCAGCAGTGAGTAGTTGGTCCTCCTGTGTTTAACCACACAATGCAGGATGTCAGGAAGTCCATTCAACAAAACCGTTGGGAACTACTGGGAAAAATGCAACTTTCTGTGCTTTTCTCATAGGGACCTACTGAGCTGATTACAGCATTGGTTTTTTTTTTTTTTTATGAAATTACTTTCATTTTTCAACTCCTGAAGACTTCAAAGGACGTAGCATTAAAAGGGAGCAGAACACGACTATCTCAGCTCAGCAAACAACAGTTTGCACACTGGTCAGAGAGGACGCTTAGTTGGATAATATGAGATTGACGAGAGGCTGCACCAAAATATAGGAATACACAAAGACAACAGAGCTGTTTGAAAGGTAAGAGTGGCAATTCTGGCCAAGCACCATCACTAGAAGTTATTACTACGAACAGCAGGAAAGTGCTGAGAGATAGGAATGATTAAAACAAATAAGCAACACCTCCAACTACACGGGGTGCTACTTACAAACAGCCTTCTGCCTCCAATTTGCACACTCAAGAGTGGAAACAACATCAACGCTCAAATCTGCACGATGTCACTGAATATAAAGAGGAAGGGAAAAAAGGGTGGGGAGGACATAGGCTTTTGGAACTGTTCTCAACTTTAATCATTGCTTTGCTATAAAACTTGCTGATCCGTAGCTCAAAGCGTTGATACAAATCAGGAGGAAACTCTTTGCAACCCTCAAACAGCCGTAGGCGAGATGTTGAGTTTTATACATTACCAACAAAAAACAGCAATAAATACAAGTCTGATCGTGATAAGAATTACTGATTGATAGCAGCTGTGTCAGAACAGTGGTTTCTACATACTTCCTTAACAATCAAGCTTGAAAAAAAAAAGCTGTAACCCAAACTCATTGTATTTTCTTTAGAAAATGGAATCCTTCAGGTGGTGGAGTCCCCATCCCTGGACGTGCTGGAGAACCATGGGGATGTGGCACTGAAGGATGTGGGCATAATGGGGTGGGTTGGGGTTGGACTTGGGGATTTGAGAGCTCTTTTCCAACCTGAATGGTTCTGTGATGCTGTGAAACGTTCACACACCTAACAGTGATCTCAACCCAACAACAGCACACGGCCTCCCTGCTCTTACACTACATCTGCAACCATTCGTGGCTGTCCTGTCTGACTTAAGCTGTGACCAAAAAGAGGTTCATCACGACTGGAAATGGTATTTTATAAAAATTAGTACAATCACACGTATCTGAGGCTAACATTGAACATTCCACTTCAACTCACAGGAACAGACGTGGAGACATCAAGTATTTATAGGAATATCTACAGACTGCAACTGCCTTTTTTTTCCTCTTTTTAAGTATCACTGATCTTTAGAGTAAGGGTTTCATGACAGCAGGCAATTGGGAAAAATGAAGGAGGGAAGCTTTGACCCTGCACAACCTTCTCAGGTTTGGTTTTGCATGCACTATTCTATTGACATTGCTACTTCATTGCACTATTATCTTCCTAAAAAGTGCATCCTGAGAAACTTGTGCAAGGTTGTTCTTAGACTTCTTACAGAGAAGGCTTAAAGCCTGACATTATGAGAGTTGCTGCTTCACCTGTATTCATACCCAGTGCAAAACAAAGGGAAAACTCTGACATAACACACTTCAAATTCAGATACAAATGAGAGATTGGACATTCCACACTTTCTGACTGCCTTGGACAAATAGCGTTGCTCTAACGAGCATTGCTGAAGCCCTTGTCTCAACGTTGAGCATAGATTAAAGAAATAGACATGTATGACATATAGCACGGACAAGCTGGAAGGTATCTATGCAAAATAAAGCTAATAATCTTTTTTTGTTTGTTTTTAGCCAGACTATTCTGGATTCAGTTTGCAAAAACTGAAATTAATGGAGGATGTGTAGAGGGCTTGTAGACACCCAACACTATGTTCTTCCATCTGAAATGCAAGACTGATGAAACTAGTGGTCTTCACTGCACGTTTCATTGCTTCCAAGATTTAAAAAACATTACACAGAAGGAGCAAAACAAAGGGATGAGATGCTTATTTAGAGCAATAATCCAAAAGGTGAAACTCGATTCTGTAAGGTTTTGAAGCATTCACAACAAGGGCCAAGCAAACAAAAAACTCTGCGTTTTGCATCCGTCCACTCACACGTTTCTCAAATTGCATTCTCTGAAACCCAAAGGATATGGGAGGGCAAGTAGACAAATCTGCAGAATTAGGGCAAAATCCCACAGGTCCCACAAGGCCATGTTCAAAGCAGACACCTGAAGAACATAGGGAAGTGGTATCCAAAGTTCACGTAGCATCGTAGAACCGCCCAGAGCTCTGAAGATCTGGGTCTGCTCAAAGAGATGAGGCTGGCCAGTTTGGTCATGAAACTCCTACTGTGGCAGAGTCCTTGGTTTGTGGATCCGTGTCCAGTTGTAGGCAACTGAACCAAAGGTGTCGGTGTCCCTGATGACTTCAATTGGAAAGCAAAGGCCAGCCCAGGTTGGCTGCCCATCCCGCTCTCAAGGTCCTCCGCTGTATGAATAATCTGCCTTGTTGTGCATCACCAGCTTGTTATCTACGAAGTAGAAACTGTCCGACTGTGTCTCGTATGGATGGAGGATCATCTCTCGAACTGCAGGAGGGAAAAAAAAAATCAAACTGTGTTAAACAGAAGCCCTGCTGAGACAACAGGCTGCACTGGCTTTCCTGTAGACTTCGTTTGAAGGCTCTTTTGAAGGAACTCGTAATCCAAATATGTTAAGGCACCATAGAGCATCTAAGGGCTCTACCTATCCTCAAAACACTTCAAAAGAAATCTCTCATGGTGTGGCAATAAGCAAGCAGCAATCATTTCCATAGGCTGCAGTATGAGGACAAGGTTACTGACAGACAAGATGAAGGGTTATAAAGAAGATAAGTTTACACAGATTTAATACTGATGCCCATAGTAAAACACGTGAGATAACACAGGACAGTAACTGAACTTACTGAGATCCTCCGAGAGCTGTGGGAATTCATAGATGTGCTCACATGTGTTCTTACTGCTGGGGATGCAGAACCCAAACTCAAAATCAAAACTCTTCAGCAGCTGATCGCGGAAGTAATGCCTCTCAATCATGCGGAAGTTGTTGATGGGTTTGTCCCCTACTGTGAATTCCACCCTGGGAAGGAAGAATGAGAGAGAAATGAGCTTTCTGCTCGAGTAAGGGTTTCAAGCATCCCTATGTCAATCACTACAAGATCCTTGTTGCACTGGATTGCCATTCAAGCTTATTTAATTCTGCAGATGGGTATTAAAAAAGCAGACAAATAGACTTCTTTGGTCCTTTTCTGCTTTATGAAGGGGGAGAAGTTAGAAGCAGCACTATATTTAAGTTTCTCTTTACCACGAGGCATGACCTCTTAGAGAAAGGTAGGTGTTGGCTACACACAATGTGCTGAATTTTAAGCTAGGGCAGGAGTAAAGTACATCAGTTCTTCATTTGGAGCTGATAGGAACTATCACACTGCAAACCAGTTTCTAAACATAAAGTAGGTTTATGCTAGGAGCCCTAACCAATGGTCAGTAGAGTACTGTGGACTTAATGCCATATTAGCAGTGGGCAGATGTTCTTAATTAGATTGAATTTAAACCTCAGTGAACGTAAAGAAAAACAGAGATAACAAAGAACTGCCATGTAGTGACACACATCCCTCTAAAATATCTAGTAAAGAAGCCCACCAGCCTGCTCCCAGGGAGGCCAGAAAGCAATAATTGGGATATTAGGGAAAAATTCTTCTCCAAAGAGCAGTGCTGCAGTGGCACAGCTGCACAGGGACATGGTGGGGGGGGGGTCACCATCCATCCATGGAGGTGTTCAGGAACCGTGGGGACGTGGCACTGAGGGCTGTTGGCAGGCATGGTGGGATGGGTTGGGGATCTGAGAGTTGTTTTCCAAGCTGAATGACTCTGTGATTCGATATAAGCTAAAGGGATGGAGGAAACAAACCATCCAGCAAAGGCGTTGGGAGATCCCCATCACAACAAACGGTCCCTGTTATTAAATCAACTCAACTTCCTGGTGGGACGGACAAGGAAAGAGCCACTTTTTCCAGATCCCAGTAAGGAAAAGCAGCACGAGGAGCTTCTTACTTACGTGGCCCCCACCTGGCGCAGGCGAAGGAAAGCTGGGGTGAACTGGTAGCGCACAAAGCGCCCCGCGTTGGGGTCAACGTCCTTCTTGTCATTGTGCTCACGTTCTGCAAAAGTGCAAAGACTGCATTGGGAACGGCATTCCTTCCTAACCAACCCACTGTGGAAGCTGGTGCTACGTTCCTCATTGGGTGGTTTATTCCTCTGCCTCGGTGGCAGAGCTGTGCTCTCTTTCTGTACCCTGGGGCCAATCCCGTTGAGTTGGCAGAGTTGGAAATTGGTTCCTTTGAACAACAAAAAAAAAAGAACTAAAGGTCCTTCTGGCAGAACGCCGAGCACACAAAGAGCCCTCTGTGAAGAGCCTGCATGAGCATGACTGTGTGTTTTAACTAAGAAAACGTATATTATGAGCAACAAAGGTTCACAGGTGAACGTTTAAGGCTCTGCCATCAAACTGAAGGACACATAAAATACTATGAACTATCCATTAAAGGTTCCAATCTTGATTTTCCTTATTGAGGAAAGGTGAAAGTCTGGTTTTTGAAAGAGGTTATAAATTGGGGGCTTCAGAAATTATCTGTTCACTGACAAATAGAGGATACTTAATGAAGTTAGTATGCAGTAGGACCAAGGCAAAAGCAGCATTAACCACAGCATGATGTTAAGCAGGGAGATTCTTTGCCGTAGGACACAGGAGATTCTGCATTGGCTCAAGGCATTGGTACATGGGCTGAAGAAATAAGGGTTGTTAAATACAAGGACATCATCTGCACAGTCATACGTGAGCTGACGGGCTCATGAGCAGCCAACACATGCTGACCTCCTCCTCCTTTGCTTCTATTTACAACATCCATCTGTCCTTTCTCATCACAAATGGAGGTCATAATACGGGAGCAATTAATTCTGCCCACTGTTTTGGTACAGAGGAATACCTGAGCGGTGTTTCTGCTGCAGGTTGGGAATCCAGCCCTCCTGCAGGTGAAAGTTTCTTCTGTTTGGGGGGGACGTATTGAGTAAAAGGGATGAGAAAAGGCAAAAGGAAGCAGGTGTTAATGTTGGTTCGTTCACAAAGGCAGCACTGTGTGCTCACCCACCTGATGCTGCTGGCTTGGTGATTTCAAACAACACTGTGCCTGATTCCATGTCCCGGATTTTAAACCTGGTGAAGTCTATCTTGTAAACGTTTTCCTCTGGAGTGCATAGGTAATCTGCAGGGAAAAAAGCACACGGATATGAAGGCTTTGTGCCCACGAAGGCAGACCCAGCACCGCGTGCTCACGCTGCCCAGCACTCAGAGGTCATCACCTTTTCCCAACTTTGTGCCAATTGCTTCTGGATCCATTTCTCCTTAAGGGCATTGAGAGCAGTCAGCGCCTGCACCAAATCCTTGCCTTCTCAGGGTAAGAGGCTTTGCCTTTTTAAAAACTGCCCTCTGGCAGAATGTGAGCACTAAGCAGCTTTACGGGCACTAAGCCGACTGCACCGACTGGAACAGGATCCCCCTCCCCACCCCATCTCCCCTCTCTCCAGACAAAGCACGGCCTCTTCCCTCTACCAGCACTCATCCCATGCAAGGACTCATCCCTCAGCACTGAAAATGGCGTTGAAGCTTTTCCCTGTGCTGGGAAGCAGGGAGCCCAGGGCACCTTCCCCAGAGCACAAAGGCAAGTCTGGAGCTGCGTCTGTCTGCAAGTTAATTATTAAGTGTTTTCCTTCTGCAGAATTCCTGCCCATCCAGCACCATGGCAACAGCTTTATCCCCCTCCTTGGCAGCAGTGTTGCCACAGAAACAGTGTCCATGACTCATCCACAGGAGAGGAGAGCAAATCAGAACCACCGGAAGGGAGAAAACCCCAAGCAGAATCCCCACAGGGCTCCTGCCCATCACTGCCTGCATCCCTGCACTAGTTTTTCCAATAGAAAATACTCAAAAACCTTTATTTATTTTGATAGGTGCACCCCGTATCTAATCAGATGGCGTCTGGGGAAAGAATCGTGGAATCATTCAGGTTGGAAAAGAGCTCACAGATCCCCAAATCCAACCCCAATCCACCCCACAGCCCTCAGTGCCACAACCCCACACTTCTCCAAAGCTCCAGTAGGTGAAGCAGATCATTACAAGAAAGGGAGTTTTTGGTTCTTGCTTCTTTCACTTCCTCCAAAGCAGGCAGCTTTGTTTCCCTGCTGTGAACCCAATAATCACAGCATCTTCCTGAACAAGCCCTCACCTGATGCAACACTGATGAACAAGTGATGAAGGAATGGACACGTGAACATCTTAGGGAACCCAGCAGATTGTCTTTTAGTCTGAAATACCCAGGGTAAATACTACAAAAACAAATCACCAAAGAGGACCCTTTCCTCCTAAAGCACAGTGGGTTGCTATATCCCAACCCAACTTTATTCATCTTTATTCACAAACTCCAAACCCAAAGTTATTCACGTTTATGACTATCTCAGGAGAAACAGGACAAGAGGGGATGGCCTTAAGTTGCACCAGGAGACCATCAGGTCAGACATTAAGAACAATTTACTCTCCAAAGAGCAGCGATGCATTGACGCTGCTGCCCAAGGAGGTGGAGGAGCTCCCATCCATGGAGGTGTTCAGAAACCACGGGGATGTGGCACTGAGGGTGATGGTCAGTGGACGTGGTGGGGTCTGTATCATGCCCAAAGATCTGCAAGTGCCTGTCCTTACCAAGTAGGTTATTTAGTGGATGAGATCGGGTGTTACTCCCAAGGGTAAGAAGGAACTCGAGCTCTGGTGGTGAAAAGGAACGTAAATTGTGAGGATGCTGTACAAGAAACAGACACAATGACAGTAGGATCGCCTCTCCCCATCACAATGACAAGAATTTAGGGAATGAGAAGACTCCAGCTGCCATCCGGACCTATTTCTTAACATGCATTAGCCAACAAGGTCAGCGGCTATTTTAAAGACCACTCCCCAAGATGTAAGCCAGGTATAAAGCAGAGACGACTGCAGAGGAATTGCTGGGAGCTGGAGATTAGGAGATTATCAGATTGAAGAGACTCAGGAGGAAGCGAGCAGAAATAGCACCAGCCCAGCCAAGGCTGGGAGCGGTGACGCAGGACAGAGTGCAGGACCTCGAGGGGAAGGCAGGGCACGTTTCCATTAAAGAAAGAACTCAACCACCTCCCTGCCCTCTGCCTCACCAGTTCAAATCCCACAGCTTTCCATTCTCTTCGCCATCCCTGTTGGGGACAGACCAACCCTCAGGCCTTGGCAAAAGGACAAACCCTCTCAGCTCAGCCTTGGTGCTACCCATATACACCGTGTGCGCTCCCCTGGAGATCTCACAGCCCATCTTGCAGTGTGAGAGTGCTAACAAAGCCCTTCCTCAGCACAGCACTTCAAGCTGGGAGCCGTCACCAAGCCTTGAAAAGGTTCATAGCAGCGTCTGTTGTGCTGCTGAGGGAAGAAGTCACGGTGACAGCAGCCTGACACAGCTCTGCAAGATGGCTCTGCTGCAGGAAATCTGCCTATCAAAACACTTCCATGCATCACAGCCCCAGACAGTGATTCATTAACCCCCCCCCCCATTGACACCCCCAGCTAATCAGAGCTCCTGATGCAGTGAGTGGTCTCAATTAAACAGGGAAGGAAGGGAAAGTCGCAGCTTCAGGAACAGCTCTGAAGATTGATCTGCATTGCTTCATGCTAACGCAGCTCAGCTGGAATGCAGTGCACCCACCAGGTGCCTGCCCTGACCACTGGGCCCCTCAGCCAGGCTGGCTAAAGCTGCTGCCTCTGAGAAATCCCAAATGACAGCTCACGGAAGAGATTACTTTCAGAAATGATTAAGCACGCCTTCCTTATTTTTAGGCTTTGTTTTGTAAGTGTTTCCAAGTATGTCATCAATCATTTATCCGACCTCTCGGTTTGCTCGCGTCAAAGAAGCCCTCAGAACAAAACTTAGAATAGTAAAACTTAAGATAAGCCTTATCCCAGCAGCGCAGACAAACCGTGCAATTGCCCAGAGCTGTGCTATGCGTGGTGCTCTCAGCCTGAAGCTTGCCCTTGGTTATGCATCAGTTTGACAACTGGCATCGTCACGTGGCAATAGGGGATGGCACTGCAAACGCTGTGATGCCATCCTCCTGCTGACCACCCATGGCTCCCATCCCAAAGCCAGACAAAGAAATCAAAGCTGTGCTGGAATTAACCTCGCCTGCAGGCAACGTGGGAGCAGCACAGCGTGACCTAGCAAACATTCAGCCTGGTCGAAGGCATCGGGGTCAGTGCTCAGCTCCTCTCCCTGCCCCACAACGCAGGACGTTGGCAGATGCACACCCCAATAACTGCAGACACACCGCTCTGATCCTCCTCCTGCTGCTGCAGTAATTAATTGCAATTTGAACTGAGCTCTGCCCTGCTCCTTTGCTAATCCCAAGTTAATCACGTCACAAGGTTTTCCTCTTTTTGTAACCGCAGTTGGATGAGCAAGTAACAAATCCTGCTAATTGCAAAGAAAACGGTCCCTCTGCTTTACACCTAAACCCAGCCCTCCAAAAGACCCAGACACACCAGAGCAGCACCCTGGGTCCATCAGTTTGACCTTAGCGTGCCCAGAAGTGATAGAGGATGTGACACTGCAAGGACACAGCACAGATATGCAGGACAGCTTGCATGCTCCCCCTTTAAGCTTATTAGAAAGGCATCAGGAACAGAGCAACGAGTAGCAGAATGAGTTCAACAGCGTGAGCTGCTGCGGTACTGGTCTAGAAGTTGGGATAAAAATGAGTTATCTGGGACTGTGAGGGATGTCCATGGCACCAGGATAGCGCTGCTATCAATTCCTGCCCAACCATCAGCTCCTGTGGCAGCTTCACGTGGGCTGGAACACCTGGATCTGGGAGTCAAAACTGGAGTCAGCAGGATACAAGTGACCGTGGTCATGAGTTGGGATGACTTGGTGGTATAGGCACTACAATTTGCAATGGAAAGAGTTAATTCAATAAGTTTTAAGAAGAGAGCTTTCCTAAGAAGGAAAAAATGGAAGAGGAGTGGGAGAGGAGAAATTTTAACCACGTACTTCTCCACCCACCAATCTCTGACTGGTGTAATACCCTTTAAAAGCCATACATGACCATGATACCACAAAGTCCTTGCCAGCTCCTCTTATTCTCCTGATGTTAAAACACAGACAGGGGAAACTATGTGCTGATCTTTCTCCTGGTCCAAGGAGCACTCGCCATGCCCTCTATCCCATATCCTCCTTCCCAATTCCAGGCACAACAAGCCACACCCCAGACACTGCCCTAACTACAGGCACCAGGGCTGCATACTGTACACACCAAGCTGAGAGGAGAAAGAATGAGGAAGGAGTTGTATCTAGGCTTCCATACAAACCTACAGGGATCTATGCACCAGAGATGGTGTGAACTTGGCCACATCCCCAATGCATGCAGGTCCTTTTGGATCACAACTTCACACCTCCACCATACACACGAGCAGAAGCAGAGTAAGACACTTTATGGAGAGCAGGGAAGATGGATAGGAAATGCATGTGAGTGGTGCCCCATGGCAAGAAGACGCCGGAGAGCAGCTCTGCTCCCTGTGGAGTGATCAGCTCAGCTTTCCTACGCACTGAAAATGCGGGTGCTTACCAAAAGCAAACAGCAGCATCAAGGCTAGGGTGCCCAGATGAAGCCACATGAGGTTTGCACGCTCCAGGAGCAAGGGCAGGGGGTGGCCACATGCCTGCAGCCTCCTGAGAGGGCACAGCTGCATGCAGGGCCACGTGTGCTCCCAACAAGCAAAGCACTGAGCACAGCCATGGCTGGGACTCACCATCCAACTGCTGCTCTTCCAAGCATGCTGGCAGCACGCTCCAGTGCCTGCTGCTCTGATTTCTGGGCCTGGGCAGTGAGTCACAGCCCAGCACAGCATCTCAGCAGGGAAACAGACACAGCAGACCCCCCAGACCAGCACTCCCTGCAGGGCTTCCTCCCCTCCTTCCTTCCACCCACCCCTGTGCTGCTCAGCCCCCAAGGCTGCCTGCATGCCCCGATACCCACAGCCACATCCTTTCTTTCTGGGGCTTCTCGTGGCACAGCTCTGCCTGCAGCACTGATCCTGCTCCAAGCACAGCCACCCATCACTGCCCCCTCCTCTCCTGCAGTGAGACAACACACACGGGATGCAAAAAGGCCTTTCAGGGGGCAGGAGGACACTGCCACAGCCAGGCTGGCCTGGAGCATGTGCCATCTCCCAGTTCAGCACGCTGCAATCCCAACAGGTCCAACAGAGCTGCTGCCACACAAGCACAACAGCCCCTTCAGCCCTATAGGATGCTCTCAAGACCACAGCAGCCCTATGGAGGTGAGAAAGGGGAAACCAAACGGGAAGACTGCAGGATGGTCACAACACTCCTCCCCTTTGGATCTGTGACCCCATCCCGAGCCCCTCCAGCCCTTCCCTCCCTCCCTCCCTCCCTCCCCCCCACCCCGCAGCTGGGGGTTCAGCCTGGCCCACCCATAGGACGGGCACAATGAGCAGCATCCCACCTCTGACCCTGCTTGAGGAGGGGGGAAGGGGGGGTCCCACTCCGCAACGTGAGCATCCCTGCAGGTCACCCCCACCCCTCACCCTCTAAGCTGGGTCTCCCCTCGCACCCAAAGCACTGCCCCCATCCTTCACCCCATACAAACGCGGTGCTCCCCCGCCCCACACCCAGCCCCGTACCGCTGGTGACCCGCTGCAGCCCCAGCACGTCGTCGGGCCCGATGAGCGCTTTCCGACCCAGCTCCTCCTCGGTCCGCGCTGCCGCTCCCCCGGCCCCGCCGCTCTTCTTCACCTTCATGGCCCCTCCGCCTCCTCCTCCTCCTCCTCC